GAGCGTGGCATGAAAGACTGCGGAATCATCCGTACGCAGTTGTTGCCGGCGAACAACATTTCAGGCTGGTTTTTGTGCCCGGACTGTAGCATCAGCCCGGTTATTGTGGGCTATCTCACTTTTTCACTATCGGCGTTATTCAATAGTTGGCTGTGGCTCACCCATGTGGAAGCTCCCAGTAGAAACTGATGCTTACGTGCTTTGCGCCACGGCTCCGGCTAAATTGACGACGTCACTCACAACGCAGCCAATGGCCCGCGTGCTTGGGTATGACGCAGAAAACGACGCAACTGATAGCACAGCCATTAGAGACCACTCGTGACAGCGCTGCCGGACAGTTGTACATTTCTGCTAGTCATATACAGCTTTCGCTCTAAAAAATGATGGAAGCCTTAATGCCCACTGCAGGCATAGCAATAATTTTCGTGCCAGAACAAGTTTCAATATAAATGTTGTGGGCCCATGTGCTCAGATTTGGGTGCACGTTAAAGAACCCCAGGTTGTCGAAATTTCCGGAGCCCTCCGTTACGGCGTCTCTCATAATCATATGGTGGTTTTGGGACGTTAAACCATACATATCAATGAATCAATCAAGTTTCAATTTACATGATGAAACAAGCACTAAAAATACACACACTCAGAGAAGACACAGACAAGCGCTCACTAGCAACTGAAAATTTTATTTTGAAGCGAACACTAATAAATAGGTCACACGCATGTACGTCACTCCCAACTTCCCCTGTCATCATCAACAACGTGATATAACAAAATATGTCTATCCTAATCGATGGCACAAAACCTGAAACAAAGACGTGTCAAGAAAGAAGAAAAGGAAACGTAAAACAGAAAAAAAAACTGTCCTGTCTGTGTCCTCTCTGTCTGTCTGTGTCCTATCTTGGTGTGTGTATTTTTAGAGCTTGTTTCATCATGAACCTTTACCAACACGCCCAACTGGCAGTCATCCTAAATGTAATTTCAGTTTACACAACGTACATTCAAAGTTTTTCAAAGTTGTTAAATTGTGAGTGCCAGCAGGAGTCAGCTGACCCGAGAAATAACCAAGGCTTAATTGATCAATAGCAAGTTAGAGCCCAATTGTTTCGCGCCTGTCTTTGTCCTCATTTCTGCGTACACTATATATTGGCTTCACTGCGTTTCCAGGATGCACATATTCGTCGTTCAATATTGTTTGCACCAATAAAATTGGTTATGATACATTTTTTTTTATTTTAGTGTATAGGATACTCTTCGGCAAAACTATAGAACCTAACTCATAATTAACCATTCTGAAAAAATAAGGTGGGGTAAAAATAGATTTGGTAGTATTAGCAGCACAAATACTTCCAGAGAAAGCAAAAATGAGGAATCAGTGAATATTTTAGCCATTGTAAGGATGACACAACGGACAGACTGATTGTTGTTTTCTGTTTTTTTGTGTGCAATAATGAATGATATCACACAACTTACATTACGTTTTGTTTAAATATTTGTGGTTTTATTATATGTATGTTCTTCAACATCCTTGCGAAAAGGAAGAGGTACTGAGCTTGATGTAGTTATGCCTTAAAAAACTAAATTCTGTGAATGCATGAGTTAGGTGGCTGCCTCTTCAACAGATGAGCTTTTCGACGAACAGAGAGACAGGTGGCTGCCTCTTCGACAGATGAGCTTTTCGACGAACAGAGAGACAGACATGCACATAGATAGATAGATAGATAGATAGATAGATAGATAGATAGATAGATAGATAGATAGATAGATAGATGGATAGATAGATAGATAGATAGATAGATAGATAGATAGATAGATAGATAGATAGATAGATAGATAGATAGATAGATAGATAGATAGATAGATAGATAGATAGATAGATAGATAGATAGATAGATAGATAGATAGATAGATAGATAGATAGATAGATAGATAGATAGATAGATAGATAGATAGATAGATTGATTGATTGATTGATTGATTGATTGATTGATTGATTGATTGATTGATTGATTGATTGATTGATTGATTGATAGATTGATTGATAGATAGATTGATAGATAGATAGATAGATAGACGAGACAGCCAGCCAGACAGACGGATAAATAGATGTATATAATGATCGCTTCAAAGATTGATTGATTGATTGATTCATTGATTCATAGCCTTAAAGGGAGCATGTCATTGGTTTGGTAAAAAATTAGCAATACTGCACCGACACCACACTCGTGGAACATAATATCTTCGAAATCGGAGAAACTTATCAATATGACCTGATTGAGTCTTATCTAGACTTAGTGGTCCTGGATAGCACGCACGGCTTTCTTTATTTTTTTTATCGATGTGATATATAAGAAGATGTTGGCGCACAAGTACGGCGCCGGCTACTCCTTAGCCCTTGAGTGAAAGTTGAACACGTTTCTTAAAAGGAAACCTACAAAACAGTGCATGGAAAATAGAACACTCGAGCACACATAAGCAAAAGCACTGATGCACATATCACAACACAATGATAGAGAAATGTTCAAAAGTCAGTGAATGAAGTCTCTGATAATGTCCCTCGTTAATATTTTGTCCAACCAGCACAAAATATTTAGTCCGACCAGCACAAAAAAGCAGAGCAAACGTCTGATCTTTATGAAGATGTATTCGCTCATGTGTACAAAGCAGTTGACACGTCATTCACTTCAGCACACACATAATATGGGTGTGATATGATACTGCCCATAATAAGTACATGTGTTATGCAAATGAAAGTACGTTATTTTTTGGTAGTTTTCAGCAATTCCTCTGTCTTGTAAGAATTGTGTTAGCGCTTTTAAAGCGTGAGTCTGTAAAACTCCCGTTGGCCATGGGCCCAGAAGTTTCTTCATGCTAAACGGTTTGTGGTGTAATGCTAGCAGTACTGATTTGAGACGGCGTCTCGGCGCGTCATGGTGCGGACATTCTATGAGAAGGTGACATACGTCATCATCTATAAAGCCACATTAGCATTCGGCAGTTTCGTTCTTGTGTTCGCGATGGTAATAAATGCGATGCATTTCTTAGCGAACTTTGGCGAATTTGAGCGTAGGGATCTATCTATCTAGCAGCTTACGTTTGGGTGCTCTCGTGGTTACCCTCTTAACTTGGTGTGAACCAAAACTAGCATGGGAGGGTACGATGGTTCGACGAATATGACGTGCTGGTCAAGATAATAATAGTGTCACAGTCCCATCACGTACATCGTCAAACACTTCCCGCCAGACAGTGGCACATGCCCAGGGGCACGTATGTGCCACTAGTATATGGTTAGTGCTACGGGTGATTGACACTTAGTATCAACCCAGGAACGACGAGAGCACATATGGAGAAGTTTAACGCTCGAGTGTTAAGAAATACCCGGCATCGGTAGCGTCGACCGGAGGAATGCAAATAATAAATGTTAATGTTAAGAAAAACCTGCCATAGCAAGCGTTGCACCGCGACAAATGCCAATAATGAATTTCAGCGTCCCAACTGGAATCGAACCCAAGCATTCTGCGTAGCAGTCAGGCATTTTACCACAGAGCTATACGCCAGGTCTTGTAACTCAGTTTCAAATAGACGTTAATCTTCGTGAAACGTCAATAGTGGTGGCAGTGCTGCCTACCCAATATTATAAACATTACATATGTACTCCTTTGATACAGCCGTCACGTCGTGCTAACGTCGATTGCGGTTAGGTGCCATGCGCTCAAGTTGATTGAAGTAGGAGTCACAAGGGCCAGCATCTTCGCGAGCATTAGTGCTTCATATCCTATTCTGGTGTTGCTAATACGCATGTTCCAGTTGACACCGTTGCGCATGTGCAAACAAGTGGTAATATAAACATCTGAAACTTTCCAACATATGTCTGGGCGTGTACCATTTGTACATATATTTATCGTAAATTTATGACGTGTCGCTCATTAAAAAATTGCAACACGGTAACCTTCCCTCCGCATAACGTCGATTCCCATGTACGTGGGATCTGCTGAATTTTTATTCAACGATTAGTCAAGTCCAACCAGTCTCGTCGTGGTCTTATTTTGAAGCAAACTATGCTGATTGACTGAGGAGAATAAATTAAAGTAGTTTAGTTTTATTTGGAGAGCATCAAATGCCTAATTAGAAGGTGGCGGTTTCGCATCCCACAAAGAGCTAAAGTGTTTTTGTTTATATCAATTCTTTTCAATTTATGTGGTAGTTATCATCGTAATTAAGCGCAATAATTTTTATTTTTTTTTGCTTTCCTTCGACTAACTGTCTTCTCAATTCATTTTGTTGTGGTTATCTCGTAACAGGGCAATCGATAGCATTACCCCACTCGGGAGGCTTGTCGTCGAAGCACTGAGTAAACAATGTGCCTGTCTTCACCAAACGATACGCGAGGAGAGGTAAGGGGGTCACTAGAGGAGAATCTCTGAAAGTTAAATTTCACGGTGAGACCACCATCACTGGCTAGCGCGATACCTCGCTATCTCGGCAGCCTTAAGCGGGCGGCTCCTATACCCTACTACGTGCTGCCCTCTCGGCGCGACGATGCTGTGTAGAAAAAGTCCATTGGAGCAGCCTCAATCTAATAAACCAGCGTTTTCCAGAGCCGCGTGAGATGGAATGTAAAATAGCTAGGTACCAGCCTCACTTTGTATAACAGTGAAACTTGCTGCTCTCGCATTCATCGCCTCGCCCTTGACGAGAAACTGGTACTTCCTAATGAAAACTACCTTACTGAGTTCAAATTACAATTACAACTTTAGGCGTTTTTTTTCAACTGCTTTGAATGTTCAACATCTAGATGTAGAATTTATAGAGTCGGCTCATTGGGAAATACGTTTTTTCATTGCCTCACAGAGCGTTGCCCATGTGCTATACTCACAGATGAACTGAAAATATACACAAGGCACACACAAACTCCACTAAGCGGGAATTCATGTTCAAGAAGGTTCAATTAACATATGTACGTTTGCGGCATCAGAAGAATGAAGATACCAGCACAATTCACTTACATGAAGTAAATCTCGATAGGAAGCATTTTGAGCTTGTGTATCGTCTAGGCAGAAAATTATCAGAATTAACAGCGCCACATTGTACATATTTGTATGGCGTCTATCTCTCCTATGAAAGCTGTAATGAACGAGCTTTTTAAAACATGGATTCGACTTAAGGAATCAGTATAAATAAAGGACACTTTTGTCTTCTGTTTTCTATCTGAACAGTGAAAATGCCAGTATATTAGATAAACTTTGCCGAAGATCTTGTGTTTTTTTTCCTTTTCCTGAACTTTTTGCTAAGTTACCTTGGGTACGGTTGCTTCTTGTAAAAATAATAACACATCTTTTGTTATTAATATAAGGGCAGGAAATAGCAGTAGCCGAGAGCTGCCATTGGGCTATTTGACACAAGCTCACTAATGTTTCAGTTTGGATGATGCGGCGACATTAGCTGTTAAATAGGAGAATAACATAACCAACAAAGTAGTGTTGAAAATGAGGTCTAGTGATATTGAAGTACTTGGCTTCATACGAGATACATTTTTCATCAATGCATAATCATTACTATCATTATCAGTCTGAGTGATGAATATGCGGACAGTGCTTAATAGTCATTACTCTTATTGTCTCATCAATTACACCACGAAGAGTTATCTGAGAGTTTTACAAACATCCTGCCGGCAAAATGTTAAAGGCTGCTGGAAGACACTTCGATAATGCTTTGGTTATGAGCAGTGATTAAAATACAGGAGCCCCTGCGTGAACGTTGATCTCGCTTAATTTTCGTGAGGAATACGCAAAGCAAGTCGAATAAGAATGGTAACTTGTTTTTGGCAGTGATTCTTCGCATTTGCAGCTTAAAACAGTGCCTTTATCTCTGCCTTTTATTCAAAGAATACTTCTGTGTGTGTAATGATGCAATCAAAGAAGGCTCATCTAAAGAGCTTGTTATAACTTAGTGCACCACACATTTGGGATACTTTTGATGTACGAAGAGACATATGAATAGGTGTGCATGTAAACAATCAAATCGTACGAGCCGTAGCTGAAGGGTACATGCCGACGGGTCAATTTCGTATGACTACCAGGCAGTGCGCTCCATCTCCGTGACATAGATTCTTTTACATATGAATCAATGTAGCAAGCCGAGATATTACGATAAAGAATAGAAGGCACCAACACTTTTCTTCATATGTTATCACTAATTTATCACTTCACTTGTTATCGTTTATGTGCCTCGTCAGCAGCAGGAGAGACCTGATACCTATCTTCAGGCTACAAAGGTGCTATCGCAGCTGTGAACAGAAACGCCACATATAACGCCATCTCCGAACCACTCCGCTATCCAATGAAACAGGACAATATAAATATGTCACCATCAATTAAAATTGTTCATAAATTCTAGAAATACTAATTTTCTAAGGGACAAAAGTAAAAATATTTTTTGTACCATCACTAGCACTTTGACAAATTTCAAGTTTTCATTCAGAAATACCCTGGGGCGTTTGATTTTCTTGAAAATTACAACTAAGAAGAAACTTTGCACTGGCGTAGAAAACTCCTGTCAGAATAAAATTTACCTTATTCACCTTTAAAAGCGATACACCATTCGTTTTTCATCAAATTTAATTAGGTGCTGTATCTTGTGGCGGTTCTCGCCGCCTGGTCAAACTCCCAAAACATTCTTTAGTACAAGTAACGATCAAAAGTTAAGCTTTCAACTGCAAGACCTAATGGCCACCACACATGTCATTTACCATTGAGCCTTTGCCATGCGGGCCGTGCAACACATGTGCGCACACACCCGCCACTTCGTTGCCAAGTCTCTTAGCATGTTCTCGCCTGAAGGTTTTTAGGAGATGCGTGGGTCACAGACATCCCCACTACGCCGCACGTGTTACTTTCGCGTGGCGATGTGCATGATTACGTGTGTGCAGATGATATTGCTTTCTTTGCAACAAACAGTGATCGGCACTCAATGTATCAGGCATTACATAATTACATGAACATGCTAGAAGCATGGCTTGACAATATACATACGTCATTGAATTTCAAAAAAAGTACGCTTCTACCGTTCTCTTTTAAGGATCGGGTCAACGTTTCTCTTATGTATCTTAGCGAGCTCATTCCCCAGGTCGATTTCCGGAGATACCTAGGCATCATATATAATAAAACGCTAAATTGGAAAAGCCACATAGACGAGGTTGGCTGCAAAGCGTCACGTGCCTTGGGGTGGTTATGCAAATCAGAAAACAGAAAAACAGAATTGCGAAGGAGTTCATTGATAATGATTTACAAGATGTATGTGCGCTTTATTATGGAATTCGGGTGCGTATTATTTTCTGGCAGCGTGGCATACAAAATGAAACAGTTAATATTATTAGAAAGAGAAGCTTTGTCTTTGTGTCTTGGACTCCCCAAATTTGTTTCAAATAATGTTTTGTATGTAAAAGCGCGTCTTCGAACTTTGTTATTTCGGTTTAAAATACTTACAGTTCAAACTTTCTTAAAAATATACAATTCATCTCTGAGACAAGTGTCTTACGTTTTTATTCAAGCACCAAGTGCATTCTTGGCAACGTAACGGTCTAGAATATACTACCCTCAGATTAGGTTCGTCCCAGCGCTGCTAGAACCTCTCAATTTAAATATCTATCATATTACCTCAACGAAGAGGTCTAATTCAAAACTTGAAATAGAATTTGATAATATTTTCCCCTCTAATGAGAGACAAATGCCCCCTTGATATTTAAATTATCAGTTACAAGATTACTTGACTCATCTGTCCATGAACAACATTATTGCGACGGATGCATCCGTATTAAAAGAAAAGGGTGGAGTAGACATCTTCTGTACTTTTCTCGACTGGTCTTTTTCAATTCGATTACCAGTTATACGCCTATATTCATCGCTGAATTATTTGCTACATTTCTAGCACTTCGTGAACTTCCTGCAAGCGAATCAGAAGCAGTCATATTTACTGATTCTCTCTCAGCATGTACTGCACTATCTGCAGAAAAAATTCACATTATTGAGTATGATTAGCAGTTTATTACCAGCAAACCTGAGAAAATTACACTTGCTATAGGTACCTGGTCACTGCGAGATTTATCCGAATGAGATGGCAGACTCGTTAGCCAAAGCATTTTTAAGCGGACCACTGTTACCTATTGTACCTGATTTCTCTTTTTTAACAACACTCAGATATAGAAATAATCGTTTCCACAAGGCAATAGAAACATTATCATAAAGTCAGAGACTTCCTACATCTAAAATTTTGCTGGAATAAACAGTGGTGTCTATCTCAGCACTTAGACATTACAATCCCCAGATTACGATGCAGAATTTCGCACCTGAATTATTACCTACATAAAGATCGACTCACAGCATCTCTGTTAGGTCTCTTTTGCAAGGAACTAGATGCAATAGATCATTTCTTTTTATTGTGTGAATAATATTCTTATAAAATAAGATACCCGTTCGAACCAATTGAGAAGCTGGGTTTAAAAATAAACGTGGCAGTATTTTTATCCTTTGGAGTGATTACGATAGGTTACAGCCACAGGGAGGTTCGCTCTGCTGTGTGTGCGTACATAATGGCAACAAGAATATTACCTTGTTAGTCTCAACTACGTATTATTTTCGGCTCCGAGACTACCTGAATGCCTGACCGTTAGCTCTTGTAGCATTTTCATACATTTTTACGATTTCTTTTTGCTTTATACTGAAATTGTATTTAATGATTTTAAATGCATAACTAACTTGATGATCCTGCTGCCCGGTTCTTGGCAGATCTCCTTTTGTGGGTGAGTGCCAGCAAAACGAAAGGCTCATCATCGTCATCATCAACATGCTCACATACAGCGCCCCTCAGAAGAAAAGATTCGGTCTGGGTTGTTGCCTTCGCCGCCTTGTGCGGAATTGTCCTTGACCTTTGCAGGCGTTCTCAACCTCGCTGATGATCTTGCGTTTGACGACAACGTGGCCGTCATTGCCATCGTCGCCTTCTCGACCACCTTCGTAGCCGTCTAAAATATAGAGGTCTGTGTGGCTGCCGTAGGTCCAGCTCCCGTCCTCCTTTCACATTTTGGCAAAGTGCCACCCGTGTGATGCTTTCTACGCATAATAAAGCCACAACAACGTGCTCCTGGTGTCTTGCTCGTAAAGATACTCATGGTGAGCACCACTTCCCCATGATTACTGAACGGGACCTTGTGGCCTTACTCTCTTTAGGCTTCAGCCAGTCCATTCACCCATGGGCTGCTTGGGGCTGCACGTCCATAGTCATCTATGTCATCGCCTTTGCGACTTTGTATCCTGCCATTAACTCAGATGAAACAAACCGTCTCATAGTCTTGTCTCCCTTCCCATTGATGGTGTCATTTTTGGCCTCCGCTACGGCCCCTCTGGTGGCGGTACCAACTCTCGGGACCACTTTTGAATTGGTCAGTGCTTTTAGAGCTCCCTTTCACCGCTGAGGCTCAACTGTCACCTTTTTTTTCGCTTCGACAGCGCCATTTCCGCCGGCATGCACGACTATGCCTTCCTCAGCCAAGTGGCTTAGGTTCTCGAAATCTGCACACAAATCTTCCGTGACATCATTGTCGTTCTCGACTGCATAGTTATAGCCGTTGCTGGTCACGACTGTTGCCGTTTCCATATTTGTCTGCTCCTGTTTTACCTGTGTACATACCCGCCCAACCGGACGAAGTGCCCATAGTTTGTAGTCTACCATGGGCACCACAACGCCCCTCGCCGCGCAAAAGGCCCCCGACACTGACCAGAGAGCACAATGGGGAAACCTTACTTGTTTGCCGCCTGAACATGCCGGCATCCACTTCCAGGGATACCTAGAACATAAATGCTTGCTGAACACATCGACGTGCTCAAATATCTCCTGTTCAGCACGTAATAAGCGAGCGCTTCTTTCCATGGCCCATGGTCACCCGTGACACCACCCCCCCTCTCCGCACGTAAAAGGGTAGATATGTGCTTTGGTGGCTTTTTCTTTTTTTGCTGCGTCTTCTCGCTACAGGTTATAGACTGGCGGGCCCGACTGATATCGCTTGGTAGTGCGTATTTTGGCGCCACCTTCAGATCTCGTGATCTCCATTGCCGG